GATGTTGGCTGTCTGGTACCTGGGGCTTTCTGAAGGTTTCTGGTAGTCATTGGATAATCTCAGCAGAAGGAAAAGAAATCCCATCACACAGTGTGAATCTCAGACTTGGCATCTGAAAGGTCAGGAAACTGTCTGTGCTGGGATTTAGTGTGGTGAAAAATATCGGTGGATTGATGAATAAGAAGACATTCCTAGATATACCTAGAGTTTCCCTCTTCCCACAGAGCTGCCAAAGGCAGTGTCCGCAGCAGAATTTATCAACATCTTTTTCCTGTGGTTGTAACCAGTTGTTGCCACCAGAAGAGCAAGTCTAGTTCTCTCTGGATTTGTAATGTCTGCTTGTGGCAAGCTTAATCCTACCAGGCAAGGGAGGAAGGAGGAGCTTGAAGGAGTAGCTTGCTCTCCTGGTTCACCATCTATGTGAGAAATGGTCTTTTTCTTCTTTCTTTACAGACTGAACATACTGTGGATTTTTTTTTTTTTTCCGCTTTGTCAGTAATTTCCACATGAGCAATTCTTCCCTCCAGCCCCCCAAGCATTTCCCCTCTGACCTGCTGAAGCATTTCCCTTCTGACCTGCTGAATCAATCAGGGAAGAAGAATGGTGATGTGTCCTCATGATCAATCACATTTGAGCCACTGCAGGGGCTGGGTTCGGCATTTCTTGGTGGGATCATTTGCCTTTGCTTTGCAGTGGTCTCTGCTTTGGGTACCATTGTTTAGCACTGAAACTCTTCAGGAAGATGGTGGAATCACTCTGCAGTTGTGCTGCTTGGTATGAGAATGGAACTAAATAACTCCTCCTCCTGCTTGATGGAGGTGGTGTGTGATGTACAGAGGTGTAGTATCCTCCTCTTACAGTTTCTAGTAAACATTTTTTAATGTGCTTTTTAAAATTTTCTGCACACTTGTGAGTTGCACCCTTACACAACTATTGGATTTTCTCTCTCTCAACTTCTTCATAGAGCTGAACTACGTTTGTTTTTCTGTGGCACAGTCATTTCCTTTGGTTACGTGTCTTGGGTTGTTTTTAAAACTTCAACCTTAATCTTTAGCAAAAAGGGGCCTCTGTGACTACACACATTTTAGAGACAGAATTGCAGGCTTTTCAGGAAATAAATATAATTTGTGGAGAGTTGGGATCCAGAACAACAAAAAAGCAGATGAAAAACAAGCGTTTCCAATTGTGTAGAGGAATGTACCAATCCCAGAACATTTGAAGGTTGTTTCTAAAGCTGGCCATACAGAGTCCAGGTCTGTCATGGCCTAGAA